GATGGATGGATGGATGGATGGATGGATGGATGGATGGATGGATGGATCCTTTTCAACTTAAATATTGATTAAATGAGTCACATGTTGTTTTCATGGAACCATGATTTTATTTTTCTGTTGTCTAACGTGGACTAGCTGTGGCGGCCATCTTGAAGTTGAATTAACTCCAAATGCTAATGCATGTTAGATCCAGCCAATGATTACTTTCTATGAAATATATAAAAGCTTGACCAGAGGTTCACAAGATATTTTGCTAACCGGTTAAGGCCAAAGTTTTAAGCAAAAAGTGTGTGCAATGTGAAGAGCTTGATGACTCTCAGCTACTACCACACCAAGTTTTATCTCAATCTCTGTACACTGAATTAAGTTATAGCCATTTCTGTGTTGACTAAGATCAACTGGTTGTGGTGGCCATCTTGAATAAGGCTGGATAATGTTAATAATTACTTACCAACTTAATAAATCCTGTGTCGTTTTGATTTCAAAGCCATGATGAATGCCTGGAATGTAGCTTGTTGAGTTAAAGAGGATAATCAGACATTTTAACGAGTAGCGTGATGTCACTAACCGTGCTGTGCAAATAAATTGCATCTAACTAATCCAGACTGAACTTATAATTCACCTCGTTTTATTCTCTCCTTCTTTTAGTGCACGCAAGCATGAAGTCAGTCGTGAGCTCACTCACATCCGAGAGAGAACGGTTAAAACAGTGCGTGGATCACGACTCGTATCCCCCGACCTCTCCACAAGTTGTCAATTTGAAGAATACACTGACAGCAGTAAGCGAACACACACATTCACACACACACTCACAGAGCAAAGCTTTCAGGCAGCAGAAGTGGGTCAGGTATATTCCACCTTCTGTGTCCCCACACACCTCTTGTCAGGCGTGACACACTGATGAGCCTTTTAGTGGGATTACTGTAATGGTTGCTGGTGTGATGTCAGCCCACCAGAACAGAACCATAGTCGTCAGTAACGTTTCCTGTGGCGGCTGCCTCCCACCCAGAGGATTTCTTTTATTGTTTGATTTTTCATTGTCAGGTGGTGTGTTGGTGGAAAGAGCTAACGTTTTGTCCTAATCAGAATATTGATACTCCCAACATGTTTACACGGGTCCAGTAAAAAAAAAACACCTACAGATTAAAGCTGAATGTTGGGAATCAAAGCATTTTTTTTTTTAAGTATTTAAGCTTTGTTCGGCTGTGTGCAATAAACAATGTTCACGCCGGTTTATTTTCCAGGCTTTAGCCCAGAACTCTGAGCTGAGAGAGCGCCTGAGCAAGATTCATGTCGAGTCCTACATTGTAGAGCCCACACTGATAAACCTCACTGCCCCTGTGCAGGTGGGTGCAGGAATGCAGTGGCTTGATACTACCCCCCCCCCCCATCACCACCACCTCCCGCCCCACATCCCATCCCATCATGGTTATTATTGTTGTCTCTGTCTTTATTTTAATCCCACAATGCCCAGAGTTGGCCACAGAACACCGCCCTCTCATCCAGCTGAATGAATCAGAGAACTTGAGCTGCATCGTGTGTCGCATGGCCGTTCTATGTGCAGTCATTAAAACACTAAGAGGTAGACTTCTAAATATGTGTTATCTTAACGAAACTCGGCTTATTCAGTTAGATTTGCAAACCAGACTGTATGAGTTGATCTTCTTAATTGTGTTTTTGTGAATTGCTAATCAAATTTTTTTTTAAAGGATATTTTCCTGTAGATGGTCTTCAAGTTAGTTAATCAACTTCAGCAATAATAGGGCACAGACAGATGCTCATGTCCACGTACTGTATGTAAAATATTGATAAATTATTGCAGTATTTGGTAGTTTTTTTGTTCATTTTCTGTTCTCTTGAGATTTCACAGGAGCAGGCTCACAGACTGGTGTCAAACCTGTTTGATACCAAACAGATAATTATTGGAAAGCCATACTTAGAAATACCCCACAGAGCAATAGATTGGATGTGGGTGTCTACAGAATAGCTATATGTTATAATCAGAAACAAGACAGGAACCTGGAAGCCAAAGCCATGAATGACGAGTCTACATGTCCACATGCCATCCCCCATTTACATCTGAACATCTCAATTTAATCCGATCTATTTTGTCTATTTTGATTTATGCGACATCCAAACAGCCTAAAAATACCTTAGACACAACACAAGTTAGCAAAGCGTACAGAAATGTCAGCGAGCATGAAATTTAACACAATTAATGATGTGAAGTCCTTTTTTTTACCCACTTTATGATTATGAACTCAAGCACTTTGTTCACTTGAGAGCTGGACGAGATGAATGTGGTCAGTTTGAGGGCATGTTTAGATGTTTGTGTTTTGCTGAAAAATAAAGGGTGAAACAAAGTGTAATGTCCTTTAACGTGACACGAAAGCACGAGTTGTTGCTGGAAACAAGTCACGACGTTTGAGAGGACATAAATGACAAGTTGTCTGAGTCTTTATTTGCCATCTGCATTTTCACACAAGGTTCAAGTACGTAGGAATTCTTGTGCAGAAATTGTTTTTGTATTTATAAAGAAAAACAACCAAAACGATTACAGTTTAGTAAGAATAAGCAATAAATTCAAACAGCTCACCTAATTATAAGCAGTGCTTGAAATACGGAGGTGTTCATTTCATTCTTCTGGAGGAGCCATGTTTTTTGGGCTTCAGATGACCTTTACTTTTAGACTAACCTTAATGTCGACCTTGATGTCTGTAGGCACTTTAGTGAGTTTTCAAACCATTTTAACAATAAATTCATATCGGTGAAATTACTGAATTTTTCGCCATATAAGTCGCACCTTTTTGCATAAATTTGCAAGTTCTGTGACTTATAAACAGATGTGACTATTCAATGCTTTTCTCCATATTTATAACCCAATATTTGGCTGAGCTCTACGATTTCATTCATTCTGACATGAAAAATATTAAACATTGCTGTTATGTCGGGACGAGGGCTGGCTGCGGGCCACCGGTCACCCAGAGGCCCCCTCTCGGACCCAGGACCCGCCTCCAGCTCACGTCGCTTCCCCCGGCTCGAATCTCCCTCAGAAGTGGCAACTCAACCATAAATCAAGGAAAAGTGAATTCAGTTTTACCAATTGTATTAAAATCAAGGCAGGAAAAGGTTACAGTTTACAGCGCTGGTCTCTCCGGTCTGTGACGCGATCACAAACCCAGAAGAGCCCAGATGTCCCTTGTCATTACTCATTTATAGGGTCCTAGACTCCTCCTTCGCAGAAGGGGAGCTCAACCTGTCAGTGTATGAGGAGGAGTGACTAAGTGTGATCTCAATGGATCTTATGTGGTTATGACGTGAAAGGAAATATGAGACTGTGCTTCAAGCCTTTCTACGTGATGTAGCAAGAAATAAACTGTATTCCTTGATGGATATTGAATCCCAGGGAGACTCTTTTTAGCGTTGCCGGACCAGTTCAACTCAGTCAGAACCGGGTCATAATTTCATTATAATCCCATCTCTGAACAGATCAAAACCCCAGGACCAGTCAGATAAATATCTAACATTACTATTTGCAGCCACCAGAGGGCCCTCGGCTATTATGGCAAGCCAAGTTTCTCATTAATAGGTAAAAGTAGCTATTAATGAGACACTTGGCTTGCCATACCAAGCCACCTTCGTCTCGCTCCGGAACTCCTGGAGTAAACGTCAAATCAGCTGCATTTTGCCGCGCCGCCCAGACGAAATGCAGCTGATTTGACCATCAAAGTGCATTTATTAAGGAAAAGTTAAACTGAGACGCATCTTTACTATAATTTTGAGCAAACAAATAATTGTTTTTAAGTGTTAATCTTGTTAAATACTTGTTAAAGTCCTCCCGTGTGCACTGCTGTGGCCACCATTTTGGCAGCCAATTGATTTTAGGCACAACACCGGCCCATGTTGGTTGAGGGCTTGGTTGGTCAGCGGTGACGCATAATAAATGCGACGCATCAACGGTGATGCATAATAGATGCGACTTATACGGCAAAGCGACTTATTTATGGTTTTTTCCACTTTATTAGATAATTTTGGACTGATACGACTTATACAGTGGTGCAATTTTAACGGTGGAAAATATGATACCTGTCATCCACAGACATGTCATAAATTTTGTTCATTTTAACTCTAAATGAATGTTTGTGTTGGATTGATTTTTTGTTTTTTTTGTGCATGTTTTTATGGTTTGTCAATGACAAGCTGCAGACTTTTGTGTTTTTATTGTCAGACATAGTGTATGACTGAACTAAAGATGATTCGAGGCTGTGATACACTGGATTGTAGAGGAATGGCTGTCCTGCATGCTCTGTGTGCACTTTTACAAATAATTTGTTCTGGACGACACAGTGATTGCCACTCCAGGCTGATGTGTTGCTGCTCTTACTCAGACTGGTTTATAACGGTGGACATTGTTTCCCATAGAAACAGGACTCTGCAGACGACTTCCACCCCCTCGTGCATCAAGTGTCCAACGAGAGCAGAGCTTCAGTTGCCGAGTCTTTGTCTGAGTTCTTTGATGCCCAGGAGGTTCTGTTGTCTGCAAGTTCTTCTGAAAATGAGGTAAGCGTGGTGACAAACTGTCACCATCTGCCGTAGACTTACAATCCAGCTGCCGGTTTAAAGCTGACATTTGGAGCTGGTTGATGAAGTCACCATGAACATGTCCTGAGTCTGGTTGATTGTCGACAAAATCAGCTGTGAGAATTGGAAAGAGAAAATGAATTGACAGAATGCAAACAGAGATTTTCAATTTAATGATAAGCTATCCCCCAAAAGTGTCCAACGGTTTTTGTGTCTGCAAACTGTTTTACATTTTAATCTGTCTCTGACAGTTCAGTGATGATCCACTGCAGAAATGTTTTCCTATCACTTTAACGAAACAGGGTTTGTGTCTATTTTTAGTTGTTTTCTTCTCTCAGTCTTAAACCTGCACGCCAGATGAAAATGCAGCTTCAGCGGAAGTGATGTGAACATAGAAGTTAATTACTTTAATCTAAAAATACAACAAGCCAGAGTGCAACTATGTCACCAGATGCTAAAAGATCCTTCATCTCTATTTATTAAAACTAGGACTGATACGACAGGATGTTGAAAATGTCCTTTCAGTGCAAGTGCTATGAAAAATATACCTGTTATCTACAAGAAACTGATTGAATGTCTTTTTTTAGGTATCGGAAGATGACTCATACATCAGTGACATTAGTGACAATATTTCCATAGACAATTTTAGCAACGAGACAGAAGGTAAAATTTAAATACATTTAAAAGACATTTTATTGATGCTTTTGCAAAGTTCATTTTGATTGCTTTGATGATTTTGATTTTATTATTTCTGTGTAATTTCCCTTATTAAAAATGAAAAATGTCATCACATATTATGTCTAAATCAGGTTCTGTAGAAAATGGCACCGTCCTGCATCGACGTAGATCCTGTCTGCCTTCTCCCAGTCCAAACAACAACACCATCAGTCTGTGGAACATCCTCAGAAACAACATCGGCAAAGACCTGTCCAAGGTGGCGATGCCCGTGCATCTTAATGAGCCCCTCAACGCCCTGCAGAGACTCTGTGAGGAGCTGGAATACAGCGAGCTGCTGGACAGGGCTGCCGACACCCACGACCCGTTTGAACGCATGGTGAGATGACAAGTTAACTGCTTATAAATATATTTTTATTTATTGACTCAAGACCAGTTGTTAACTTTAATTCCTTTGTGAGTCTCTTCTGATGAAAGTTGTTCAGGAAGCGGCATGACAATGGTTTGTAAAATGTGCTTTGGTTGTTGTTGTTGTTGATGATGTTGGCCAAGGTCAAGGTGTCTTTATTGTCATTCACATCACATGTGGTACATGAGGTGGAACGGAACTATGTGCACAGGGTCCCAAGTTACATCCAACAAAAATACAAATTGTAAAGAAAAACAGTAGTAAGATCTAAGATATGAACCAAAAATACACTAAACACTAATAGTACAAAACAATGCGCCAAACAACAGCAACACGAACATGAGTGTGTGTGAGCAGATGGGGACGAATGGACACAGCAACATGGAATAAATCAGCAGCATGAGATCAGCACCATGGATAGTCAGCAGCACACATCAACAACCAAGTGGCATCACAGTGATTTTTTTCACAATGAAAATCCTGATAAGGGATTCATGAGTCTAACAGCCTCAGGGTAGAAGCTGTTCCTCAGTCTAGTGGTTCTACACTTAGTACTCCACAACCTTCTGTCTGAGGGGAGTGGGGCAAAAAGTGTGTGTGCTGGGTGAGTGGGGTCCTTCATGATGCTGGTGGCCCTCTTCCTGCATCTGGAAGTGTAAAGTGTCAGCGATGGTGAGGAGCCTGACTCCAACAGTCTTCTGTGCAGCCTTCACCACTCTCTGCAAAGCTTTTCTTTCTGCTGCTGTGCAGCCTCCATGCCACACGTTGATGCTGGAGCACAGGATGCTCTCCACTGCACACCTGTAGAAGGAGGTGAGGACTGAGCTTCCCAGACCAGCTCGTCTCAGCCGTCTGAGGAAGTAGAGTCTCTGATGAGCTTTCTTGATCATTCTGGTGGTGTTGTTGCCTCAGCTGAGGTTATTATTCATGTGTACACCCAAGTACTTGTAACTGGAGACAACTTCCACCGCAGATCCTCCTATGTTCGGGGGGTGGGGGCGTGTAAGTGTGTTTGTTCCATCTGAAGTCCAAGACCATCTCCTTCATCTTCTTCACATTGATGTGAAGGTTGTTCTTCCTGCACCAGCTCTCCAGGCGTTCCACCTCCTGCCTGTAGCTGGACTCATCATTGCGATGCATCCAACCATCGCTGTATCGTCTGCAAACTTTACAATAAACTTTACCTAATTTAGATAAAAGACACACCATATTACCTAATAACAATGAAACACAAATATGATATTGCTTTGATGGTGCCTAAGATCAGTTTTGAGTCCACAAAATGAAATACAGTAGTTTCTTAAGATAAACAATCGCACACTTCTCATCACATTCTGGTCCCCTACCATACACATCTCTACTTAACGTAAAGGTTGTTTTCAGAATCACTCCGAATATTTTGCTAAAATGAGCTCAGAGGTTAGACTGCAGCTAGCTTGTTAAACATAAACACTGGGAACAGGAAAAAAAAAATCAGCAGTTAGCTATAAATCAATGTTTAATTACACCAACTCTTACCCAAACAGATAAAACTGTCTCAATTCTACACACACACATGCACCCCCC